GCGCTGAATGAGAGCACATTCACTCTCTGACAGCAGATGGCGCTGAACAGCAGAAATGCAGCCGTTACCCTGGAAACCCCATAAAAGCAGCTGCACTACTTTCTAAAATGTATTTAAATGGTTTAAATAGCCATTCAGATTTTTGTATTTGCAGTGGTGTTCATCACAGTGGCAAGTACTTAAATATTTAGACTTAATAGGCTATTTATTTTCAAATGTTTTTTTACATTTTAATCTGGACTACAACATGCCCTAGAAATTGTTTGAACATGTTTGGTTTCTTTATTGTTTGGTCACACTTTACATTATAAGCTCTATTAATTGACATTAGTTAACATAAACTGCCAATGAAAAATTCTTCTAAACATTCATTAATCTTAGGTAATTTCAATATTTAATATCACGTTGTTAAAATCAAAATTTACAATTGTTTTATTTAATGAACTAACAGTTGTAGGCTATTTTTTAACAAAGATTAATAACTTCTGAAGCAAATGTAGCTATTGCTCATTATTATTATGCATTAACTAAGGTTAACTAATGAGATCTTATCATAAAGTGTTACTTGTTGGTCTTTATAATTCTTTTGCACTTTAATCTGTGTGAATTTTTTTTTACTTTATACATATTTTGAATATTACTTTATTGTATGTAAATGTTCTGTTCTTTTTGTTATAAGAAAAGTTATTAAACCTGTTATACTTTGACGACACTTTTTTTGCAACTAAATTTCAATATCGTGATAATACCATACACCGTGATAAAAGCATTAGCAATTAATCGCAACATGAAAATGTGATAGTCATATGCCTATACCCAGATGGACGATGTCTCTGCCAAGCAGCAGGAGAATTTGGCCAGATGCTGGACTTGGCACTGGTGTCTGGAGCGATCACTGTCGTCAAACTGCCCTGGAGGTACAGTATGTGCACCAACCTTTTGCATAAGGAGCATGGCAAGTGTGAGAATTAGAGGTTGATCTGTACCTGAAGACAAGCTAGTGATTTTGCATTTACTATTGCAGTAACTTCAGCCAGAAATTCTGCCATTTTCTGCTCCTCCCTCCTGAGACCATCGCCAACACAAGTGTCTCTCTACAAACACAAGGAAACTGAAACATCTGATGGATGTCTGTCATCATTGCATTTGGCTCAGGTCTGAAGCACATGAGAACCACAAGCTATTATTGAGGTCTGAACCGCAAAGGAGAACATTATTCAATGACAATCCACTGAACCACTGATTTAACCAGGTTTTGGAAGGTGCTATACTCCAAAACGTAGTAAGTACAGACATTCTTTGAAGTAGCAGCTCCTGTTGACAAAGATTTTTTCCATGACCCATCCTAAACTGTTGGGTGTAAGGTGCATTGTGATAACCACTGCAATTACCCTATACCCAGATAGACATGTGGCGGCATTCGGTAACGCGATATATCACGATAATGAATATGCACGATATTGTTATCGTGGGCACTTGAAAATACCGTGAATAAATATTTATTACAAATTATTCAGATTTTTTTAATGCATTTTAAGAACATTTTTCCATGTAAACAAGCACGGATGAGAAGCGCATGGCGGAACATGTGAAGGAGACGCGCTGAATGAGAGCACATTCACTCTCTGACAGCAGATGGCGCTGAACAGCAGAAATGCAGCCGTTACCCTGGAAACCCCATAAAAGCAGCTGCACTACTTTCTAAAATGTATTTAAATGGTTTAAATAGCCATTCAGATTTTTGTATTTGCAGTGGTGTTCATCACAGTGGCAAGTACTTAAATATTTAGACTTAATAGGCTATTTATTTTCAAATGTTTTTTTACATTTTAATCTGGACTACAACATGCCCTAGAAATTGTTTGAACATGTTTGGTTTCTTTATTGTTTGGTCACACTTTACATTATAAGCTCTATTAATTGACATTAGTTAACATAAACTGCCAATGAAAAATTCTTCTAAACATTCATTAATCTTAGGTAATTTCAATATTTAATATCACGTTGTTAAAATCAAAATTTACAATTGTTTTATTTAATGAACTAACAGTTGTAGGCTATTTTTTAACAAAGATTAATAACTTCTGAAGCAAATGTAGCTATTGCTCATTATTATTATGCATTAACTAAGGTTAACTAATGAGATCTTATCATAAAGTGTTACTTGTTGGTCTTTATAATTCTTTTGCACTTTAATCTGTGTGAATTTTTTTAAACTTTATACATATTTTGAATATTACTTTATTGTATGTAAATGTTCTGTTCTTTTTGTTATAAGAAAAGTTATTAAACCTGTTATACTTTGACGACACTTTTTTTGCAACTAAATTTCAATATCGTGATAATACCATACACCGTGATAAAAGCATTAGCAATTAATCGCAACATGAAAATGTGATAGTCATATGCCTATACCCAGATGGACGATGTCTCTGCCAAGCAGCAGGAGAATCTCTGCAGAGGTGGTCACCTATAGCTTTAAAGGGGTCATGAACTGAGAAATCAAAATTCCCTTGTGTTTAGCCCCACCCACAGATTCAACATCGCTGCCTGTTTAGCCCCACCCACATATTCTACATCGCTGCCTGTTTAGCCCCACCCACAGATTCAACATCGCTGCCTGTTTAGCCCCACCCACATATTCTACATCGCTGCCTGTTTAGCCCCACCCACAGATTCAACATCGCTGCCTGTTTAGCCCCACCCACATATTCTACATCGCTGCCTGTTTAGCCCCACCCACAGATTCAACATCGCTGCCTGTTTAGCCCCACCCACATATTCTACATCGCTGCCTGTTTAGCCCCACCCACAGATTCAACATCGCTGCCTGTTTAGCCCCACCCACATATTCTACATCGCTGCCTGTTTAGCCCCGCCCACAGATTCTACATCACTGCCTGTTTAGCCCCGCCCACAGATTCGTCATCGATGCCTGTTGAGCCACTGCCTGTTTAACGCAGGTCGACACAGAAACCAAACAACAAAAATGTTTCGAAGACAACAAGCCGAGCACTCACACAGAAGCATTTAATTTATAATTTGTCTTAAAACTCATTTTGTTAAAAAAAATCGTGAATCGAATAGTGAAATCAAAATTGTGAATCGAATCGAATCGTGAGTTGAGTGAATCGTTACATCCCTAGTGCAGATATATTAGGGATCCGCTGATAGATGCGGTTTTCAAAAGCTCCCGTGTGCTTCTGTGTGAGCGCTTGGTGAAGAGTGTGAAGCTATGATCATTGTAGCCAATCACAGTCATATCTGTTGAGCACGTGAACACTATGGCCAATCAGCGGTGTTTAAGAATCTGCTCAACAGCGCTCAAATGTTAGCAGGAAATGGACATTTTTAAAATTGCAGTAACGACTGGTACCAAAGTCGGTACTTTTGCCAACACTAGTACCCATATTTATTTCACATCTAATTTTTGTATATGTTGGTTTGTCAGCTACATCACATACTATTATTCGCCTCATTTTGAATAAGTTTTCTGATTAGCCTCCAGTTATCAACCCATCCTTTCTCCGAAAAATTTAAATTCTGTCATTTAGCCTACTCTCAATTTACCCTCAAGTTGTTCTATACCTGTGTAAGTTTCGGTAACATTTGTTTTAGTGTAACCTAAGTTTCTTCTGTTGAGCACAAAACAAGATATTTTGAAGAATGTTGGTAACCAAACAGTTGACAGTAGCCAATGACTTACACAGAATAGAAAAAAATACTAGGAAATTCAATGGCTACGATCAACTGTTTGGCATCAAAATTTCTCAAAATATTAAAAAATTTTGAAAAAAGAATCATACAGGTTTGGATTAAGTGGAGGGTGAGTAAATGATGACAGAACTTTCGTTTTTGAACTATCCCTTTAAACACTCGACACATTGCCATTTCAATAAATGTAGAATATTTTGGACACTACAGCAGAGTGCACAATGTCTTTGATATTTAATCAAGAATATGAGTATTTTTAGCCAGCAGCTATGATGTCCTCACCTTTGAACAGATGTCATGCAGGCTTGTGGCGATGTTCTTTGCAGGGGTGTCACACCGAAATACATGACACTTGAGCACGTGAGTCAACTTATCTCGTGCCACATATGCAAAGTCCCTGTAGTAAGAGACAACAGACAAACATAAACATATGCATGTTGTCATATCACTTCAATTTATCCACACACCCATAAACTCATGCACACACAGTAACAAATGTCTTGTATGTGTGTGAAACCTTGGTTCCCTGAATAGGAAACGAGATGCAACATTATGGCTGATGCTATAGGAACACGTTCTGGTGTGTCGATTGAGCCCATAAAGAGTCACGACATTTTATTGGCAGATAGTGCTAACTCTGCTCACTGAGGCGTTTCTTCTCTGATGCCTCTTAAGAATGTGGACTCTATTTCATTGACTGATTTCATATGAAGGAAACCAAGCAGATATGTAGTATGGCCAGCTACACAGCGTTTGTTCTCGATTCAGGGAATCAAGGTTACATATGTAACCAAGACATTCCCTTTCAAATGTATACTTTGACACTGCAGCAGTAGCCGACACTATACCATCACACCGGCACACAGATATCTTCCAATGATACTCCTCAGCCCAAAGTAGGGCTGCACGATTAATCGAAATTAAACTGGAATCGTGATTTGGCAAAGGCTGCGGTTTTTTTCAAGCACAGCTTGTCAGTGAAGCACGGTTCTGTGATCAGTAGTAAATACTGCTCCATCCGAAGGCCAGAGGGCGCTCGTGTTTTTTTTTTAGTTCTTCAAGCCTTCTCGGGTATTATCATTATAATAAAGTTTATTTATAATGCTATGCTAATCGACAGTCTTTATCACTGCATAGAATACTATGAAAAAATATCTTGCTCTTCCAAGTTTTATAATAGCAGTGAACTGTGGTCAGGATTATTATAAAATACGCCTACCTCCTGCATCATCCGCTGGAACGTCACTCTCGTGAACGTGTGTAAGACATTGGAAGCTAGAGATTACAGTTTATAAAGTTGTAAATATGGATATTATTTTTACACAAATGCACCTATTCAGGACGCCTTTATTAACCCCCCGGAGCAGTGTGGAGCACTTTTTATAATGGATTTATGAACTTTATGAAGCACTTTTTGTGAAGTGGAAGAACGACAGTGGCCCGCGGAGCGAATGTGCACTACGGTCGTAAGAACACGCTCATACAACTTGAACTGAGTCTCTGGCTGGACGGACATCATTGCATCCAAAAGATTAACGCTTTGAGAGCTTCTGAACTTGGGCACAAATGCCAACATATCCACTCTATGGAGCGAGGACCTCTCAGTGTGAACCACTAAATACAAGAAAACTCCCAAAATCCATACTCCGATATATAATGCTGCATCCACTGACAGATGATTCGTCTTCCTGAAGAGAAATCAGCACAAGCTCGTCCTTATGAGGTGTCAGTGAAGCAATGCCTCAGTGGGTGGTGCTAGTATTATCTGCCAATAAATAGGCATTATTCTATACAGGCTTCAGACTATCGTCAAATCCAAGGGTTTGTTAGCGTCAGCTGTTGATGTAGTGCCGAAGTAAACCTATGAAAGGAAACATCTTGTGTTTGCACTAATTCTTGTTTGTAGAATTTTGGGAAATTATTCCCAAAATGTGGAGTAAGACAAATACCTTTAAGTGAATTTGACATTAATCATATTTTTAACTGTAAATGTATTGTTATATAAAAATAGTGAAATACTTCTATAAGTTAATATATTTAAATAGTTAAATATATTTAAATAGTTTATGTCAACTAGGGTTGGACAACTAATACACATATTGCAATAGAAATTACAATATGGCTTAGTGCGATTACCAAATGACAAAAGAAAGTGATTTAATTAAATATATATAGTCTGATGCACTCTGCACTGCTGACAATTTTACATCTAGCCATGTAAGTATATCACAGCACTACCACTGTCTTTAGCATGTCAAGTGTATGGTAATTTAGTCAGAAAACACAAATCTGTATTTTAGCAGTACAGAGCAGCAACTTGTAAATGACCTGGAAGTTACTGCTGGTTAACATTTAGACTTAATGGACCACAATTCAGTCACTATATTATACTAATAATATGTTATGCACAGAGTAGAAAGGAAGCAGAGAGATGTAAAGGGCTGACAATACGCAGAATTAAAATACAATACATTGATGTCATAAATATGCTAATGAATGTCATCTAGGTGACACTTTGAATCTTTACACAGATCTTTTCCAGACAACAGTAGTTCACAGTCACCACAATTTTCAAGTTCCAATAAATAAATAAATAAAAACAAAATCAAGTACCAAACTAGTCCAAAAGACTGTTATATTATCCAAATCTTCTTTTTTCTGAAGCTCTCAAATTAATTCAGTTTAGACATGCAGAACAGAAAATAATATTTGAGAGCTGCACTAGAGGGGAAGATTTTCAGGAAATAACTTCTGCTCCTCACACAAAGCCATCACATGCATTCAGAAGAAAAAGAATATAGTGCATGATACATTTACATTGTTTTTAGAAGCTTAACAGCTGTGGTATGTTTGTATGAACAGTTGTTGAATGTAAAAGAGTGACATAAATATTCCTCCAAAATTTTCCTTTTGTGTTAGACAGAGGAAAGTCTAATCGACACACGGGTGTGAAAATTATGAAATTTATTTTTTGGGTGCATTACACTTGGTATTGTAATAAGTACACAAAAGCTAACAAACAATACAATACAGTAACACACTACCTCTCCCTGGGATCCAGGATGCAGCAAGACAGACAGAACAAAAACACAACATAATTCAGCAAAATGTAAATTATTTAAAAATAAGCAGCTTCAGACAGTGTGTTGCAGTTGCTACAAAAGTGATGAAACTCAACGTAAAAGCCAATTTATTTCCTGTAACATTGTGCATCTGTCAGTCTGTGGTCATACACATGCTATTAATCTCTCATTCCAAAGCAAAAATGAGGCAAAAGATTCAGATTCAGTGTTTCTTTAACCTTTAAAGATCACTTATGCTGGCAACTCACTGAGCTGCTCACAGACTTACCTGCCATCGTCACGTCCGACTCCCCACACACGAATGCTGATGATCGGCTGAGAGTGCAGCAGCGTTCGACCGCGAGGCTCGATCAGGTTCAGAGTCTCATTCTCCAGCACCAGAAGCATTTCCTTCCCCTACACAGCAACACACACAAAGGCATACTAAGTGGTGTGCTTTTGCCTCTCCTTGAAATCATAAACTTAACGTCAAAATCAGTCGAAACATGTAACATCATAAATTGCCATCTTGTTTGATTGAATAAACTGATCTTTTGGTTTGTCTCCATCAAATTTGAAGTAAAATTAGACAATAAGATGAAACACTTAATTTGTAAAGGATTTAATTCACGGGATTATCCACAAACAGACATTACACATGGCTATGTAATGCATACTGTAAATCATTTGAATTTCCAGCAAAAATAACTATAATAACAGTAATACCCCATCCAAGGTATTTGCAGATTTTTTAAAATCATATTTAAGACTTCAAGACCCTTTTTAAGAGCTGCACGAGTAAAAAGAAGCATGTCCATACAAAGAGGACTTTTAAATTACTTAAAACATTTTATTCATTATATAACATATGTATCGAAACGGTCAAAATATATACAAATTAAAGGCAGATACTGGATTTTGCTGATACGATAATAATGCATTTAAAGAAGGGTAATAAACAGACTATGCCAATACTAGTAAAATGTATATACTGAAAGCGTTAACATTCTTGATTTTGCTTTGTTGCTCTTGTATGTTAGATAGTTTATTGTGTAACCTACATGCCAAGAACACCCAGAAAAGTAGATTTTAATCATAATGCAGGACTTTACAGAGCTGAAATACGTGAGAAAGTGCAACAGTACAGCATTTTTACTTTTTAAGTTGGCATGAAATGGAAATTGAAATTGTCGTGATGCACACGGATAAATCATTTATAATAAACATATTATGATAAAAAATATTCCATAAAAAAAATTAAAAACTCAATGTTGATTTCATGGTGACTTTACACATCTAGCCAAAGCCGTCACACAAAACGTTCGCTCTGTTCAGTTTCCGGGGTGGGGGGAGTTTGGGGGCTGCGCACAGCCCTCACAATGGTTGTGTGCGCAATGCTCACATTTATTTAATTAGATCACAAGATTTTGAAATTTGAAGATGAAGATTTGAAATTTTGAAATTTTTTATTACATCAAGGCCATACTGTAATTCTTGTTTCTCTTTCATAGGTTAACTCAACACTGCGCAGCGATGATGCAATGGGAATGCCCCTTGGGTGTGCCGATTGTTCTGAAGCCCACACAGAATCACGCTAGTTCATTGGCTGATGGTGTGGGCACTGCCTCGGCGATGCAACATCACTTACTCTAATACTAGTGAACGTGCCATCCACTCTGCAGATTTCCTTCTTCAGAAGCAGTTCATCTGACCCATGCTTTCTGGAAAATTCAACCAAATTGCTTATTTGTACTTCAGTGACTGCATTCAGTGGAACTTTGTTCTCCTCGCGGTGAAGTGTAATGGATCTCCTTCGCTGCCAGCTGCCGTCCTCTCGCTTTATTGCGAATGACGATACACACAGTAAGTGTATGAAATGTCTTGGTATTTCTCACATGTGCGAGGCTATTTACAGCTAAATAGTATAGTTATTAACTATGATTTTACTACAAATAAAACCAAAAAACCATGGTTACTATAGTTAAACAGTGGTAACCACAAATTAACCACGGTTTAACTTTGTCATTTGTGATAAAACTGTGGCTATACAAATGGTAATCAATACACCAAAAAAATGGTTACTACACTTTTACTATAATAAAACCATGGTTAATAACGTAAGGGTTCTGCGGCATACACAGAGCTCAAGGAAGTATTGAGAAGCTGAAAAGCTTAACATTGAGTGGCTGGAAGAGCCTTGTGAGTGCCAGTCCTCTAAGCTTTCTAAGCCTTTCCTGAGTGGCCCTAATTCTCGTCCTGCTCGGAGAAAGGACACTTTTTCAGAGATCGTGCCTAGGGACCAGTCCGCACTCGGGAAAGAGCCCGTTAGGAGGAGTGACGAACCGGTGCATCCCCCACCTCACATGGTTTGGGGAGCTCATGGCCGTCCCTTCACCCGTCAGTGCCCGCGTAAGCGGATTGCATTGAAGCATTCAGATAAACCCAGTCTTCAGAAGTGACTTCGCTCCTTCTCAAAGGAGCAATAGTCATTCATGTTCCTCCTTCGGACATGAATGACGGCTTTTTCAGTAATTATTTTCTTGTCCTGAAGAAAGACAGAGGACTGCGCCCCATCCAGGATCTGTGTCACTTGAATTTTTACCTTTACAAAGTTCATCACTGTAGACCTGAAGGATGCTTATTTTTATATTCAGGTTGTTCAGTGACACAGAAGGTTGCTCAGGTTTGCCTCTCGGGGAGTGGCGTACCAATATCAGGTTATCCCTTTTGGTCTGGCTTTGGTTCCACAGACTTTCACAAAAGGGCCTTTCTGTACTGGGACGATTTTGCGTGAACTATTTCCCAGTACCATTTAAAGGGTTGAATTCGCACCGACAGTGTGTACTAAGAAGTGACGTAAGCCGGTCGACAGCGCCGTCATTTGTGCGCGGCGTTCAACAATGGAAACAAAGGAGAACAACATTAACAACAGGAGGATGGAGGACGCTGTGATCGGAGCTGTTTTTGTTGTGTCTCGCGGGTTTCACAATAATGGACATGGAAAGTCAATGTATACATAAAGCGATTGAAAGAACGGAAAGGAGGACTAAGAAACTCCAACGACAACTGGCAGTGCTACATTTGCTACAAGTGCCTGCACGTCAGCGTCCGTCCATCTATCACTGTTCTCCAAAAAAGTGGGTAGTTCCACAATTAGTTCTGGTGCTATGAAAAGGTTCCCGCGGTGCGAAAGGTCCTAAAGTGCATGGATGCTGCTGTGGCCCTGCTGAGGCTGGATGATTAGCTCATCCTGGCCCAACCCAGGGAATTGGTGTCTCGTCACAGGGACATTCTTCCTCACCACCTTCAGTCTCTTGGCCTCAGGCTTAATGCCCTGCTGTCCCAGCTCCAGGGCAGGATCTGGCGCCTTTGGCCCGAGATTTGGAGGCTGTGAGTGTGGTCGATTAAGGGTGATCAGTTGTAACCTTCCACTAGGAGGCTTTATTTTTCCAAGTGGAATGTTTTTGGGGCTTGGTGTTTGGCTCATGTAGTAGATCCAGTCAACTACCCGATTGGTTCAGTGCTACACTTTTTGCAGAAGTTGTTTGCGGTTGGAGCGGCTTTGAGGGTTTATGTCACAGCTATCGCTGCTCATCGGGATTTGGACGGAGACCCCTTAGGTAGGCATCATCTGGTCTCTTTGTTCATGCCTGGAGTTAGGCTTTGAGGCCTGCACGCCCCTTGGGTCTATTGTCCTGGAGGGCTTATCAGAGCTGCCTTTTGAGCTTTTGGAGTCAGAATTAATATAATAAACGAGTACATCATGAATCCATTTACCAAACAATGTTTTTGGCTTATCCTGAATCACTACGGTACACCTATAATAAGTTTTTATATTCAGACTATTTCAGACTGGAACTGGGTTGTAGTGCGGAGTAGCCCAGTACCTGCGTGATTCGTCATAGACATAAACAGAGAGAAGTAGCTCCGGCTACAATGTTCTTCCACAAGACGCACACAGTTCTGTTTATTAACCGCTAGAGCGCCAAAAGTTACAGACTGCAGCTTTATTGTCCTGGAGGGCTTATCAGAGTTGCCTTTTGAGCTTTTGGAGTGAGCTTCTGACTGGATTTTGACTCTTAAGGCGACGCTTGTTGGTAGGGCTGTGCGATATGACGATATATATCGGATGGACGAAATAAAAAGTCTATCGTTTCATATTATGATCTATCGTTTATTTTGTGGTGTCGCAAAATGCATTGTTTACATTAATACTTTCATCATTTGGATGACTGCGATCTTTACACGCCATCACAGGGCGTGAAGGGGAGACAGAACCAAGAGAACGACCAGCCAGGACAAAATGAGGAGCTCGTTCCTAAACGAGGGACTACATCTGTAGCATGGACACGCGTTTTTAAGCACTGCAGTTTTAAAACAACCGGTTTTAAGCCATTGAAACAGAAACAACAGAGCTAAATGCGTGTGCCATCGTCTCTGTTTCTGTGTGAGAGGAGCATGCATTTTTTGCCGCTTTATTGGCTTTGAACGATTACATAATACATTATAATAATAATAATATAATAATAACGATTACATATTATTATTCTTTAGTTTGGGTTAAACAAATCAATTTTGCTTGGTTGGAACAGCAGCTACGCTAATTATGTCCCTATTTGTTTCTCTGTTTTTGAAAATTAGTGTTTACTATTGTCATTTTGCATTATTGACACACTATTTTCCTAATTAATGCTGTTCAGTTGCTTTGACACAATCTGTATTGTTAAAAGCGCTATATAAATAAAGGTGACTTGACTTGACATAAACACACATATATGCGTCATAATCCCTGTCTTTGCAAGTATCCTCATAAACACAGTTATTTAGGTCTTAAGAGAGAGTAAACAGCTGAAAAAGAAAACGCATTTGTAACAGTATATTGGATCCGGACTTCGGTCTTAAAGGGGAAGCTGTCCAATATTCGTCCTGTCTGCCATTCATATTAATCAAACAACAGTGAGAGAAAACCTAGATAGATTACTAACCTATCTAGATAGATAGATATAATTAACACAGTGAAGACTAAATTTACACAATGTATGTAGCGTTTCTTATTTATTGTAGTTTTTTGTCCTATTTCTTGCAATTAGTTTCTTATCCTTATTTCATCACTGACTGTTTATTCATCTTCAGTGAGCTTGAGGTTTTTTTTTGTCTCTTTTTAGGCTTGTATTAGTTTGATATTGACATTGGTGACAAGGATTACGAAAATTCTATGGTATCAAAGATTTTAATATCATAAAAACCTTTTTAAAAGAAAAGAAAAGAAAACCACACCGTGATATATATCGTTACCGTGATATGAAATTAGTCATACCGTGATATAAGATTTTGGTCATATCGCCCACCCCTACTTGTTGGCATTGGCTTCTCTTAAGTGTGTAGAGGATTTGCAGGCTCTCTCTGTGAGTGAGTCATGCATGGAGTTTGCTCCTGACTTTGTTAAGGCATTTTTATAGCCCAGGCCCGGTTATGTAGAGATGCTATCTCGCTTGCATATGAGGTACGAGGTCTCTCTTCACCTTTAGGCATTTGGGCTAACTCTACCAGGAGTGTTGCTTCCTCTCAAGCTCTTTTCAGAGGAGTTCCCCTGGAGGATCTGTGTGGCGGCAGGATGGTCCTTCCTTCACACATTTATCAGGTTTTACAACCGGGATTTAGATGCGGCTCCTGGTTCCCAGGTTCTTTCTGCTTGAATTAGCCGTTTGGTTTTAGTCTGGCCAAATTTCTTTCGGGCCAGATGTGGCAGTACTTAGCTTGGCGTGTGTGGAATATCGTTCTCATTGCATCATCGCTATGCAGCATTGATTGAACCTATGAAAGAGAACGTCTCTGGTTACTTGAGTAACCCATGTTCTCTGAATAGGGAAAAAGACGCTGCATTCACTACAAAACTCATTGTGCAGCAGACTGAACTTCTATGGTAGGAAAACTGATGAGCGGATGGCGCGTTCACTAGTATTAGAGTGAGTGATGTAGCGTCACCATCAGCCAATGAATTGGCGCGATTCTAAATGGGCTTCAGACAACTGGCACACCTAAGGGGCATTCCCACTGCATCATCGCTACACAGCATCTCGTTCCCTGCGTAATATGGGTTAAGCAAGTAACCTGAGACTTTTTCCATCCCCAAATTTAAATGTGAACGTATAACTGTTTTTACACCCCCAGCTCTTAATGCATAATTTTGCCTTCTTGAGCATCAGTGAATGTTTTGCAGCTCGGTGTGAAAAGATGGTCATACTGTTACTGTTGGCAAGGGGACAAATATGCAGAAGATGCTGGAAAACCAAAGAACGTGCAGGACCTGGAGGATTTTTCTGAAGAACAGCGTTAGACTTACATTGCAGTTTCTTTTGCTAAAGATAGTTATTTCATTTATCTTACATTTTAGAAAATTAAGCAATGTTAATTCTGATCTTAATTATGTTCTTATATGAAACAAAAAAAAATGATAACAATTTTGTGAAATGCATTAATAATGTTGCTTTGTGAAAACTAAAAAAAATTAGATTTGCACACATATGCACAAACCTCGCCCCAGATGCCAGCGGTGTCATCTAGATTGTGTTTCTGGTAGGACAGCTGTCGGATACAGTTATTAACGGCAACACTACTCCTGCCAGGAGCCATCTCCTCTTCTGATATCTCCACCCAGCCCAGAGAGCGCACTGCAAAACACTGCAAAACACACATAAGCAAACATTGAGAAAACAAGCATCTTGATGTAGTGTATGTGGTCAGTCACCTGTGTGCTTACCTTTGCCCCCTCATTGCTGCTGAAATAGGTCTGTTCCTCTTCCTCCTCAGACTGAGAAAAACTGCACGCAACAGGAAGATGACACAGAGAGAAGGATCAATGCTCCTTTTGCTCAAACAGCAGAGCCTGGCACGGACAAGGCCAAGATCATGGCCTCGATCACTAAGAACTTAAGTTAAATGCAACGTAAGTGACTTTAGATAAAAAGTGTGTGCCCAATTCATAAATGCAATAAAATGTACATGTACATATGACATAATACTGTGTAACGCTCCGCTTCAGGAGTCTGTGTTGTTTAACTGATCTTATACCTGAGATTGATGGAGGCATAACGTAGAGTCGCTCCCTCAAACTCCTTCAGACTTTCATCAGAAGCCACATCCTCCTTCAAAACAATAAATAAGCATTATATGGACTTACAAAAACAGAATGAGACTGTCTGTGACTCCATTACGAACCTACCTGCCAGTGCTCTTCCTCACTGAATGTGTTTGGATGAGAAACACCGCTCCATGTAATCTAAATACAAATGGGTTCATGTTTAAAGACATCAGCACTCACATGGTTACAATGACACTAATGTTGGGAAACTTGAGAGCTATAATGTTATATTGATGGAATATTATAAACAGCACACAATTTTCGATAAGTTGAAATGTTTATGATGATGTATAATAGGCGTGTGCACCTGTGGCTCATCAGCAGGTGTGACCGCAGGCGATGTGCTGGCTGGTCTCTCCTCTAGGGGCCCAGGAGGCTCCCACTGTGTGGTACCTGTGGGAATGTGCCAGTAGTAGGTGCCTGATGTGTCCTGCACTCGCATCCAACCAGCGGGCAGGTCCGTGTCTGTTTCAAATGCACTGCCATCCCAGTAGGACTCTACAACCAAAAATGAAACGAGATATTCTTTATCAACATATCAAAATCACTGTAAGTCACAGGCAGCATAGCATGTGCACATCAGAAAACGTTACCCTTCATTTTACAGCAGGGATCCTCAAATCTGGCAACCTTGATCAAACTATCCTGTGATTTTCTAATGATCCTGAAGACATTGATAAGCATGCTCAGGTGCATTTGATTAGGGTTAGAGCTAAACTCTGCAGGAAAGTGGATCTCGTGAGCCAGATTTGAGGATCCCTGTTTTACAGCACAAAATTAGAAGGCCAGCACAAAAGTCAGCAGGTCATGATCCAGTTACACAACATGCTTCTCAGCTGTGTAATAATAATGTAGTGAACCAAATAATGTGAAGGTATCAGTCTAGCTGCATTTCGGACCCGAGACAATTATCAGACCAACCGAACACTTGATTCCCTAACATCTGTAGTGAATCATTAATAGTATAGTTGATCTGAATGCACATAATATACCTAAATCAAGATATGTAATTCAGATGCTTATGTAAAGTATCTTGAAATACTGAACAAAATTAAGTTAGTTTAAGCTTAAAGGGTTAGTTCACCCAAAAATGAAAATTCTGTCATTAATTACTCACCCTCATGTCGTTCCAAACCTGTAAGACCTTCGTACATCTTCAGAACACAAATTAAGATATTTTTGATAAATTCTGAGAGCTGTCTGACCCTCCCATAGACAGCAATGCAACTCCAGAAACGTAGCAAGGACATCGATAAAACAGTCCATGTGACATCAGTGGCTCAACTTTAATTTTACGAAGCTACGAGAATACTTTGTTCACAAAGAAAAAAATAATAACAATTAATTCAACAATTCTTCTCCCAGAGTTACGTCTTCCGCCATTTTGGAGAGTACCCCAGAACATAATGTAATCAGCGTTGTTTATGTTCAGTAGACAGCGTTCTGAGATACTCTCCAAAATGGTGGAAGTTTCATAAAATTAAAGTTGAGCCACTGATGTCACATGAACTTTTATCGATGCCCTTGCTACGTTTCTGGACCTGGGAACATTGCAGTTGCATTGCTGTCTATGCAGGGTCAGAGAGCGCTCAGATTTGATCAAAAATATCTTAATTTGTGTTCTGAAGATGAACGAAGGTCTTACAGGTTTGGAACGACATGAGGGTGAGTAATTAATGACAGAATTTTCATTTTTGGGTTAACTAACCCTTTAAAAAAAGGAGACCTATTATGCCCTTTTTACAGTATGAAATATAAGTCTCAGGTGTCCCCAGAATGTGTCTGTGAAGTTTCAGCTCAAAATACCCCACAGACCATTATATCATTTTGAAAATGCCTATTTTGAGTGGAAGCAAAAACAGGCTGTTTTCATGCATGTCTCTTTAAATGTAATTGAGCTGCTGCTCCCTGCCCCATTTTTCAGAATAGGGATGGGCCTTTACAGTTCGTTCCTCAGATACTCTGATAAAAAAAACATATGTTTGGTTTTGATTGTCATGTCTATCGCACTGAAATCATGCATTTTAAACCATATTAGTTTAAACTTCTGACAGACGGTTTTCTGAATGCACACATCCAAAGCATGCACACAGAAAGCGGCTGTCACACGGCATGTGAGTACTAAGCTAAGTTCTCTTTCATGTCTTATTTCGCTAAAACTGTCAAACACACAAGTTTATGGTAAAAACACAAGTTACAAAAACAGTTGGTTATGTCTGTGAAGGGAAACATCTGGGAAAGAAATTGCATGTTTATATTAGATCTGTGTGGCAGCAGCAGTGTGATTTATACAGTAAATAAATCAATAAATCTACTGCTTTCATCTCCTCTGAGGCTGGAACTCTAAATAGTGTTCTGTGCACATCAGTGCAGCCAAAGACAGAACAGTTAGCATGCTTTGCTAATTTTCACCATGGCGTTAGAAATGGTACGCTGTTGTTGCTTGTGAAAACAGAACGGCGGCGCCGTGGGTGTAAACGTGCAGATTAAGGGGCAGTAATATTATAATAAGATCCCCTTTCTACGTCACGGGAATCTGAGCGGCTCGTTTTTTCGCAGAGAAAAACGATTTTCACATCTGAACCACTAAATGACTCACTCATTAAAATAGTCTTTTGCTGCCACCTACTGATGGTTTGGTTTCATATTTAAAAGTATCATTGCATTATTCCCAACATTTCTAACTTCAAAAAATTATTTAAAACATTAATCTTATAACATTATTTATGCATTTGCAATTTTGCAGTGTGAATGCCTTTATGGCACCTCAACTTCATTAAACAGTTTGTGTAAATACGTCTAATGCCACTTCAGATGCAGCTTCTGTTTCCTCAGCAGTGCAAAGAAGGAGTTTGTTGATACAGATTTATTTTGAATGGTAATTCTAACTGAATTAATCACAACAGTGTAAGAATTTGATGTAAAAGATAATTTATTAAATTTAGGGATAAAAAGGCTAATTTTTAAACAGAGGGAAATAACATCTGTTTTGTTATACAGCAACTCTGTCAAATATACAATATGCTGTCAAATATGGTTCTTAGAAAAAACGCAATCGGCCAAGAAAATTGCAATCAGTGCATCTCCTATGAAAACTTCTTTCTTTTAAATTAAGTTGATTTTTCTGAGACTACTGACAGATTAGTTTTTTATTTAGATGAATTTCACAGAAAACAAGACTTCTTATGCCATTTGATTAAATGTATCTTGATTTAAAGAGCAGGTCATATGGGTTTTTGAAAAATATCTCTTTTGCAGTTTATAACGTAGCTATCCTTAAATGAAAACAATCTGCAAAGTTGTTAATCAAAAAAGTGCATGATAAATAAAGTGTCTCTCAAAAGAGTCGATTCTGAATCGCCTTAACGAGTCGTCATATTTTCGAATCTTTTGCCTGTTACCGGTGTACGTCACTGGGTAACATTTTCATAATCACCGCCTGCCCGCGAAATACGAACAGAGTCTGCCCTGCCCACAAACAATTCCGCTAGTTAGTGTGTTTACGTCATGTTGAGAAGATGCTGTGTTCAAGGATACCACAGAAATACAATTCAAACCTTTTGTTTTGTGCATGTCATTTTACCAAGGACTGCTTCTCTAATATTGGCTTTTATCTTCGTTGACTACTTCTATCTTCTTAATTTGGACTAACAAGCCGAAGCAAGCACAACCTGTAAGTACGATTGATACGTTATGGGTACATTTTCAATTGAGTGCTCAAAATATCAAGTTTTTGTGCTAATATGTGATGTATACCTAGTGCAGCTTTAGGTTTCCAGGTAAAGCACGATATTACTGTCTTACTTAAGTAGTTCTGATAATTCACTGTGAACCCACTATTTCTTAAGAATGTGTTGATTAATATAGACTGACGTTGTTCTAATTACTTCGTTTAATAATAAAGAATGTAGTGTAGCACAGATCATTATAATCATTGTGAAATTGCTGTTTATTTTGCTGCACCGGCAGTTATAAATCGCAAGATGGCGCCGACGCTGATGGCTGCCTCCGTGGCGTGCTCCGCAGTTGTTTTTATGTTTTTGTTAGTTTGATTTAGTTAGTCTGATCTGTGCTGGTCGCTGAGGGAATACATCAACTGCGCGCGGTGGATAGCTGGATCGACTTTCACCGTGGACGAAGCGGAGTCCAGCCCGGGATCGTCACATGTGGTTGCCGCAAGCCCTCCGGACGCTCTTTCATCGAATCCGCCGGCCGCGCCGTTCTCAAGCCCGCCGTCGTTCCTCACTCAAGCCCGCCCGCTGCTGACCAATCAGAGCAGAGTAGGCTTATGGAAGGGAGGGGTTTGCTCCGAACTTGCTTGGAACGAATCATTTCGAAATCATTGGCAAATGACTCTAATATTAAATGTATATTCTGAGAAAATTACAATGTTTTCTGACCTTAGATGCATTTAAACCTGTTGTAGGGGACTCCAACACAATATTAGGACACTTTAAAATACCATATGACCTGCTCTTTAAGAACCTTTAGATATTTGCACTGGAAAACATGACAAAAATGCTGTGAAAAAACTTTTTTTCCAGCTTTTTTTCCAGTGTGATCAAAAGCTACAGTAAAAGTTATTTTAATATTCTAGAGGTTGTAGGGCTGTCAAAAAAAATTACAATTTCGAATATTCGTCGAATTTAAAATAAAAATCCACATTCAAATGCAAAAACGTTGCATTCGAATTTTAGGTGTGCGTTAAGGAGGCAGCCTTATCAGTGGCGTATGAGATGCGATGACGTAAGTGTCATTGCATTTTAATGCTTTTGTTAGCCTGTCCAGTTGAACCCACTAGATGCGGCGCTGCTGCGTTGTTCATTCAAAATATTGCAGAAAAAGAGAACAATCAATGCGGGGAAGATGTTGTTTACGTCAACTGAAACCAAGTCGTTCACATAGAATGCATATTTATCGTTTTTTCTAGAGGGACATCTATCACCGTTGCACTCGCATCTCGCACAAGAGAGCTGCATGTTTAGAAAGCTATGTAAAATTAATGTAAGTTCAACTTTTAAAAAACATGTATCAAGACTTTATGGCAGCTTTTCCCCATCCCACTGCATCTCAAGTTTTTAAATGAAGAAAGTACTCTTTGTGATTGTTTTTTCGGTCCTTTGTATTAAACTATACATACATATATGATCCTGTTTTGTTTCTAATTGTTTAAGCAACTTTATTAATTATGGTTTATAAACATTATTTTAAACATTATGCACTTTTTTCAAAGATAGTCGTATTATTTTATTATGCTTTGAAGAAACGTGCATAATATTTAGCTCGATGCTCCCTCTTGTGGCCTTAGGATAGAAGCCAAATGCTTTTTCCCCCCTTAACTGCAATTATGCCTTTTAAATTTGAATATAATTCGAATATTGATAATATTTAAGTAAAAAATTCAAATTTAGTTTTTCAGCCATTTTGACAGCCCTAAGAGGTTGGGAGCTGAGCTATTTGAGCCTTAAGGTTTTTTTATATTAAAAAGTAATGGAGAT